AAAAATCCCTGGGATCAGTAGCAATACAAGAATGATTTTGACAGGAAAAAAAAATGCCTCTACATAAGGGGAAGTCATAAAAATTACAAAATTCAGCAAAAACAAGTTTAATAAAAATCTGAATTAAATCTAAACTGTATTCACTAGAATGAATGGCATGGAAGTCACCTTCACCCTCATGAAACATTTATCGTGTGTCAGGCTGACTTTAAAGGAGCCTTCTTAAATTTGGCAGAGCAGACACTCAACATATATGATTATTATATACATGATCTATACGAACTAAGTTACAAATGTGCACAAAAAAGATTCAGTGTGTTCTCTGCATATGCTAATGTTCCCCACCAAATATTTAAAATTGGAAGATTAAAGAACTAAGAAACATTTCCTTAGGTTAACATTCTGAGACTGCAATAGTATTTCACTCTAAGACGATTCTACCTATTTATCATGAATGTTCTATCACGTATTGGTTTAATATTTAGTTTACAATCTCTAAACGCTTGCACGTTATGAGTCATAGCAGCCCTGAGCTCCACTCCATCCCATCCAACTCAGACTTGAACCATAAACTTAAGAACAATTAGGAACATCAGTTACTTTTGGAAATAATATGGCTCCGAGTCCAGAGAAAGAAATACCTGCACCTCAATTGCTTATGATAACATATCTGAAGGCTGTGTAAACCAGAAGCAGCCTAAAATAAAGTAACTTGAGTAGCTAACAGGCAGTTAGCCATCTACATGCCCTGCACATGTTCTGGCTGGAGGATGTGCCGTGCCCCCAGGATGGGTAAAGCACGTGTATAATCTAATTTGAACTGTAAATTCACTAACTAAAAATGGACAAACAAATACTCTGGTTTGTACAGCATTACTCTCTTGTGAATGTAGTTCACGTGGATCTATTCCTGAGAGCTACAGCTTCTCTCCTGCTTTGTCGGAAAGAATCATGTGTTTAAGCCTGTAGCTGAAGACCAAAAATCTTAGGTCATCCTGAGTTCAATCTGGAGACTGACGCCATCGAGTATTTTTCTCTGGCCACATTCCCTTCCTCACAGTCACACATTTGTTCCAATCAATGCTTCTCTCTTAGATTACAACCTCCTGAAAGGCAAAGATTAGGGCTCTATGAACTCATCCAGCACTGTAAAATTAATGAGAATTTCATTAATATTAAATATTTGCATATTCTTCCAATCTACGAAATTACTAATATTTATACTTTGGAGTGAAAAAAAAATTATAATGTGGGAAATGTTCACGTTAAAAAAAAGAATAAAAGGTCACATTACATGTTAAGAGCAAGAGCTGGCAAACTACAACCCATTGTGAAAATAAAATTTTATTGGACTACTGCCATGCATATTCAGTTACGTATTGTCTATGGCTGTTTTTGTGCTACACGGCAGAATAAGCAGTTTTGACAGACTGTACAACCCATAATGTGTAAGATGTTTACTACTTGCCCTTTAGAGATAAAGCTTGCCGACCCCTAGTGCCACCCTATTTTTGCTTAAATTGTGGCTCCTTCTCTCACTTTATGATCTTAGGGCAACGAGATAAAAGTACATACCTTACAGGCTGTTGTGAGGATTAAATGAGTAAATACCTATAAGCCTTGATCATATTCAGCACTCAAATGATTGCTGCTATCTTATCATGACCACCATTATCACCACCACCGCCGCCGCCACCACCATCACTGCCACCACCACCGCCATTATCATCATCATCTGCCTATACAGCTACATAACAGTCCCATTGGTTTGAGAATGTTATAAGAATGTAGCTTGAAATGGGCATTCAAGAATGGAAAGGTTAGGGCCGGCCGAGTGGCTCAGTTGGTTAAGAGCTCGCTCAAGGGTTTGAGCTCTGAGCAACAGCAGTTCGATTCCCGGCCCGAGCTG